AGGCAAGCCCCCACCGCCCCAGTGTCTGTGTCCATGTGTCCATTGGTTATGCTAATATGCATGCATACAAGTCTTTTGGTTGCTCTCTTACCGCAGGCCCCCCCCCCTGCCATTTGTCTCTGGATCTATTCTTGTTCATCAAATTATGTTGATCATTATATCCCACAGATGAGTGAAATCATGTGATATTTATCTTTCTCTGACTGGCTTATTTTGCTTAGCATAATGCTCTCCAGTTCCATCCAGGCTGTTACAAATGGTAAAAGTTCCTTCTTTTTTATAGCAGCATAGCATTCCATTGTGTAGATGTACCACTGATTTTAATCCACTCATCTGCTGATGGGCACTTAGGCTGTTTCCAAATCTTAGCTATTGTAAATTGTGCTGCTATGAACATAGGGTGCATTATCTTTTCTGACTGGTGTTTCTGGTTTCTTGGGATATATTCCTAGAAGTGGAATCACAGGGTCAAATGGGAGTTCCATTTTTAACTTTTTGAGGAAACTCCGTACTGTCTTCCACAGGGCTGCACCAGTCTGCATTCCCACCAGCAGTCCTTTTTCTTCACATCCTCGCCAGCACTTGTCCTTGGTTGATTTGTTGAGGATAGCCATTCTTACAGGTGTGAGATGGTATCTCATTGTCATTTTGATTTGCATCTCTTGGATGCTTAGTGATTTTGAGCATGTTTCCGTATGTCTCTCGGCTTTCTGTATGTCCTCTTTCGAAAAGTGTCTATTTAGGTCCTTTGCCCATTTTTTTTATTTGATTGTTAATCTTCCTTTTGTCAAGTTGTATGAGTTCTCTGTAAATTTTGGAGATTAAACCTTATTTGAAATATCATTGGCAAATATGTTCTCCCATGTAGTGGGCTTTCTTGTTGTGTTGTTCATGGTTTCTAGTGCTGTACAGAAGCTTTTTATTTTGATGTAGTCCCATTTGTTCATTTTCTCCTGAGTCTCCAATGCCCTAGGAGCTGTGTCTGTAAAGATATTGCTACGACATATGTCTGCTATTTTGCTGCCTATGGAGTCTTGTAGAATTTTTATGGTTTCCCATCTTACATTTAAGTCCTTTAGCCATTTTGAGTTTGTTTTTGTGTATGGTGTAAGTTTGTGAT